TGCGCCGTCGTGCGTCGAAGGAAAGCGAGTGTTAGGGTTACATGCAGACAAAACACTGTGAATGACGTCAAGGCATTTTCCAATTCGGGACTTCGAATGCCTCAAATTCGGTGTTACTTTTGATCATAGTTTACCGACTAGGTTTAAATGCAGCTGTGAACTTTATTCTATTTGCATTCCCTCTTTATTTTGTGAATTTTTCTCCTAAAATCCTTTTAGTCGTGATGGTACATGGATAGCTTGTAAAAATGATCGACTATGCTTTCAAACAAGAATTGGCTAGATCGCGTGAAAATGTCGACGACCTTTTCTATTATGATGGACACAAAGTTAGTGAAAGTTCAGTTGTATTTGTGCGGATATCCCTACAACATATATGGAAGTTAATGTTGCAGGTTGGTCGAGGAACATATGGTCATGTATTCAAAGCACAACCCAAAGTTCCCTCAGCCAAATATCCGGCTAAAGAGTATGCCTTGAAGCTTATCGAGGGACAAGGTTTCTCAATGTCGGCATGCAGAGAAATAGCTCTATTAAGAGAACTGAAGTAAGTTTGTCACAAGTTGGTGCATGCTACTTCCAGTGTGGTGACCAGCACTCGTCTCTTTTCAGACATCCAAACCTGATTTGTTTACAGCGGGTATTTCTTACAAATGAAAAGAAGGTGAGTTTTTCGAGATCAATCCTTTTGGTGATTTTTATACACCCTTCTAGTTCCTTGGACTTTAGTTCCCTATTGATTGGGAGTGTTTGAAATTGACGTTCAATTAATTGTCTTGAAATCCAAAGTAGTCATCTATTTTGGAGAAATTCAATCCCATTACCTGCCAAAATGTTAATCGCGAGATGAGTAGTGTCTAGAAATTGGGATCGATGCATCCAGTTTTGCCAACCCCATTATAGTTCACTGAGGGCGTCGAGATTATCGTCCTCCATTCCTTTGAAAGTTCTCCTGTTACCTTCAAGTTTGTTTTCACGTCTGCATGAAATATGGCCCTGTACGTCACTACAAAAATGAACGTTCTCTTTCTTCACACTCTTTACACTCTTTCTTTACTCTTTACGTTCCCTGTTACTCTTTGAATGCACGCTGATCAACGCTTATCCTTCCCCGCGAGTCCGGTAACATGTAGAATTCAGACGAGTGGGGAGTTCGGCTGCCTTAGACGGAGATCGGTACAAAATTGTCCACCGAACTATTCTTGTGGTGGCTGCCCCGTTACATAACCACATATGGACTTTTGCGAATTGCCACATAAATAAATAGTTATCGAATGAAAGGCTGTTTTTAGGTTTGGTTGTTACTTGACTATGCTGAGCATGACCTATGGCATATCATTAAATACCATAGAGGGGCTAAAGCGAAGAAAATGCCGGTGATGGTTCCAAAGGGAATGGTGAAGAGTATACTTTATCAAATTTTAGACGGTATGTAATGTTACACCATTATTTTTTTTTTGAATTTGCTCAAATTATTGTTTGTTTTCGTCACAACGGTGTTTTTTCCTTCAACCTTTATCAAATGTGTTTCCGGTTGAAAAAAATTTTAACCTCCGTTGTACAGCAAAACTATTTTCTTTCCGAACATGACTTTGATTTCACTTCTTTTTCTAGGTATACATTATCTCCATTCTAATTGGGTTCTTCACCGTGATTTGAAACCTGCAAATATACTAGTCATGGGTGATGCACCTGGCGTACATCGTGGCAGGTATGTCTGGTATGTATTGTGAGAGACGTTACTACTTCGGATTTCTCTTTCAGAGTTAAAATAGCTGATATGGGTTTTGCTCGTATCTTTTACAATCCACTGAAGCCGTTAGCGGAATTGGATCCTGTTGTGGTCACATTTTGGTATCGCGCCCCCGAGTTGTTGCTTGGTGCTAAACATTACACTAAGGTGCGCTTAAATTTTGATGGTAAATCCTTATAAGCGAAGTGCTAGTGAGTTTCACCTCTATAAATGTTGCTAGAAGTATGCGTATAAAGTACTTCATCAGATCTATAGTAAGCGTGGAAGCGCAGCCTATTCATTTTTGAGTTTCTGGGTGAGGTTTACAGCATATTCTATTTTACACGATAGTCACGGCAAGTACTAAACATGTGCATGATTCACCAAGCGAAGCGGGAGAGGGCGAGGTGCATGGAAGCGATATTTTGTTATAATCTTATCTTTCTCATAAAGGCGAAAAGTGACTTTAAAGATGCTGAAAAAAGTGCCCCTTTCCAACTTCAGGCAATTGATGTTTGGGCTATTGGATGTATATTTGCTGAACTACTCACAGCAGAACCAGTTTTCTTTTGTAAGGAAGAGGATATAAAGGCTCAGAGCCCTTATCACTATGATCAGCTGAAGAGGTATTGACTTCAGAGCTTGACCGTGAATTATTTAGATTTCTTGATAGTCCTCTTTATTATTTCTTGTCCCAGCGATGCTTTTCAGAATTTTTACTGTCATGGGATATCCTCAAGAAAGCGAATGGACTGATTTCAAAAAGATGCCTGATTATCACAAATTACAAACTGACATCAAATCATCCCAGTATGTTCTTCAACACTTATCTTTTTTCTGCGGTGTTTGTTCTACTTATTATACCTAACTTCGTTTTCAGAACCGCCTTTCCCAACTGCAGTATGACGCGGTACATGGAGAAGCACAAGATCGAGTCCGATTCTCCTCAATTCAAGTTACTGGTGAAACTTTTAACGATGGATCCTAATAAGCGAATATCTTGCAAGGAAGCCATGGAGGAGCCATATTTCAAGGTAAGTCGTTCAATTTGTAGAGTAGTTCTGTTGGTCGAGCTGTTTGCAATATCGAATAATCATGAAGAACTAAATCGTTACTCTTATTTACTGTTATACGATGTTTGCTCAAAGTTATGCGATGACCTCCTGTCCTGTACTGTTTTCAATTTAAATACGTGGTTGACAGTATGTAAAACTTATGTCGTAGTTGATTAGTGGGGATGAAAAATAATGGGGTGTTTTTACTCATGATAGCTCAACATTTTAGAACATTTCATCTCCTTTTTTTTAAGATGGATCCAAAACCGACAGAAGATGTCTTCTATAAGTTTGAAATACCATACCCAAAACGTGAATCCTTGCCAGACGCTGATATCAAGAAATCTCTTGCCATGAATATTGTGGATGATCAAAACCAACAGGCTACAAATCCTCAGGTAAGCTTTATCATCTTGGCCTCGAGGCAATTCCCCAATTCTCAAATACTCATCATTCAGGTCAATCAAGCCATGAATCAACAGTTGGATTCAGAACCAGTGAATAAGAGGCTTCGAATGGGCGGTCAGCAGGTAGACTTAGTTCTTTGGAGCTTCTAGACATACACGGCCATCCTACGTAGTCTCCGTAACTAAATATCATGGGATATCTTATAGCGCAATCACAGAGGACTGAGTTGTAGGTGCTCGTCTTTCCATTGATTTCCCCGACTAAGAGGTGTTGTGCCTGTGGTGGGAAAAAACGTAACGTAACTACTGCCATCGTTCTCATAAATTTACAAAAAGTATGCGCTAATGCTAGAATAAAAGACAATTCGTAACCTGTGGTAGCATATGAGTGATTGGGTTTTTCATGAATGACCACTATTATTATTGAGAACATTCTATTCAGTTTCGATAATTTGGTAAATGTTCGAAACTCCGAACTTCTCACCAAGAGAGCGGTTTGACATGCTGGGACGCTAGGTTCTACAAATGTCTTTCATTGCCATCTTCAACTTCTAATTGTCTTTTTTTGTAGATGAATGCAAATAGCCAGCCAATGTTCTCAGGAGGAGAATTCCATCAACCGATGCAGCCGCAACATATTATTCCTCAATCAAGTTAGTCTTTATTTTGTTTCAAGATTGTACAAAGTCGTATTTAATAATTGCTGCCAACTGCCTTTTAATCATTAGAATCTAAAGCTTATCGTGCAGGACTTTTACAGCATCGGGGTTCTTTTCTAGCTGAGGAACGTAAATTGTATACAAATAAAATCTTACCCTCTGAACTATTTCAGTGGACATGGGTGGCATGATGAATCAACAACAACAACAGTACCAGCAGCAACCTATTTTTGCGGTAATTGTATTGTTTGCTTTCATCCAATCTGATTCTTATCCTTATCATTCAACCCTTGTTAGAGATTCCTTTACGTTCAGTTAGTGCTTTTCGGTTCCAGAGTCAACCAATGCCAGCATCTATGCCAGTTTCCGCACAGCAGCCGATGAACATGATGCAAGGTGGACAACAATTCCAACACCAAAACATGGGTAACATTTTTTAGAGTTTTGTTTTGCTTCATCATTGCGACCTGTTTATCTTTCCTTTTCGGTTTTGTTACCGTTTATCTGTTTCCTAAAGGATTTTGAGGTGTCTTTTGATGTTTATCGTGCAGTTCCGCTAACTTTCCTTTTCCATAGTTTCCCACCACATTCTTCTGAATCATGGGCAGTGTTTGCAACTTTTAGGAATGATGCATGGCCAACCCATGATGATGCGGCAGCAGATGGCTCCAACTTTTCAACAACATCCTCAAGGAATGATGCAGCAACCTGGAGGTAACTGTGCCAATAAGCATCGCGTAGCCTTACTTGCACGTCATTTAACTGATTTTCATCCTCCAAATTTTGTCTTTTTTCTACCGCCATGGATTTACGAATGTACCAAAAGTAAGTTTCTTATAAGAATAGGGACCCGGAGAATTCGGTATGCTCAGTTGCTCTTGAATAAGCAAGTCTTTACTGAGCTTTCTCTCGATTCGTTCTTTTAAGCCCTAGATAATTCTAGTGAAGATGTCGGGTGAAGACATCGACNTTTACGAATGTACCAAAAGTAAGTTTCTTATAAGAATAGGGACCCGGAGAATTCGGTATGCTCAGTTGCTCTTGTATAAGCAAGTTTTTACTGAGCTTTCTCTCGATTCGTTCTTTTAAGCCCTAGATAATTCTAGTGAAGATGTCGGGTGAAGACATCGACGTGCATTGTTCCCATCGACCGATCAGCTTACTGACCGATCGATGGGGTTCCCGGCCACGTACTGACAACGATGGATCACCCGCCCTCACGAATGGGCGCATTCATAGCAGATGCCGGTACCAACACCTGCTGTGAATGCGCCCACTCCCGCGACTCTGAATGCAATCTGTCCTGCGCTGTCAACATGTGACCAGGACCCCGTTGGTCGGTCAGTCTAAGTGCACCCTATTGCTTAGAGAGCCCAGTAATGATGGATGTTTGATAGTTAGATGCCATTTCAAGCTGTTTCTGATATTATCGTCATAATTTTTTGCGTTTAGGTGGTGTTGACATGATGCCTGGGATGCAATCAGGCATGCAGCAAGTACAGGGTATTCAAAATATGGGTGGTAATCCACCACCCTATGCAATGATACAGCAGCAGGGCCCACAGCAACCGCAACAACAACAACAGCAACAGCAACCACAGCAACAGCAGCAACAACAACAATGGAATCACTATCAGTGAAATATGGACCCATAGAATTTGTTTATCTACTTATTTATTGCATAATTTATATGTTGACAATTTCGTTTGATTTGGATGCTTGCTAGAGAATGTGTGAAACACGAAATAGCATTTTCCTTCTGTAAATATTTTGTTTTTCAATCAAATTCAACGATGTGCTGGTGTTTCAGTTATTGCGCATCCTGAATTAAGTAAACATCAAAGTGACGCTCCACCTTAGTAGCTGACCAGATTAGCAGCATGATTATGGAAGGGAAGAGAATGGATACTACCGTATTCTGAGCAATAAAACAAGATGGTCAAAAAGAGAAATACAGACAGTGGAGTTAAAAACAAAGACTATCTGATGACGACCAGAAGCTACACGTAGTAAGCGTATACGGATCGGATGAGCAAGGTAATTGAGATTCGGATGAGCAATTCGTCTGAGGTAGCCGGTTTGATGATACCAGCACCTTTAGATGCTCTAGATGTCAATTAATGCTCTTTTTGTCTGCAACTTGACTTAAATTATGCACGCTGTCAACGATTCTTCCTTTTGTGTTTAACTGAAAGTTGGGGGCATCACCTTTTGCTTGTTCATTTTAGAGATAAAACAATCACATGGGAAAATGTGATACCAGGCTGAGGAGAGGACAAAACGCTACTGCTTGAAGCAAAAGGAAGCACAGAAACGAAAATACAGTACGGCATTCGACTCTTACAGTAATCCGGCACTGCGTAACCCCATTTTAATGCGCAATTTCTCACCCGTCTCATATACGACGCGTCGAAAAGGGGTCTTGGCGAAGGACACTGGGAGGGGATGGGAAGCTAATTGTAAGTGGTTGCTGTAAGAGCCGAGTGCCAGTACTGGATTTTTGTTTCTGTAAAGGAAGGCAGCGAAGCCAAGGTGTACGTGCATATTAGACAAACACTACGATATGCTATATGATGTAAACGTGCATCTGACAGTGGTAACTTCTACGATGACAAGACAACCGAATATTAAGTTTATCTTCTTGAAGACAAAATTAAGCAAAAAAGTAATGAGTAGCTTTCCATAGTTTTGTCACTTGATGACGTTGAGGTTGCGGAGCGGATGTCTGGAAACGTATGCTACGACGAAAGCGTGAGCCCGAAGATCTTAGAGTTTGTACTTATCCTCAGCTGGACCTTCTCAATATGGTCCTACGACGTCAACCTCCGGAAAACAAAGGCTATTTGGGTGACTGCATTGTAGCGCTTAAACACCTAATTCGATCGTGCATCGGAGCTCCGGTGTTACTGCGAACAGATAAGCAGGCGAACGAAGAGAATCATGAACGACGAGGGAATGGGCGAATGATGACGTTGCGAACACACCTCGCGCCATTCGGCTGTTGCCAGCGGGACAAAGCGCTACGCAGTGGCCGCGCCATTCAAAAGTGGAAACGGTAGTGTGGGGGACGGAACATCCGTACGTACTGAGATAAGCGCGGCGAAATTCGTGGCGATTCGAACGACTTCAGCGCCTACCAATTGGGCCCAGATTTGAAGTGGAGTAGATAAGTAGGATCAGGTAAGCCTAATAATCCATTCTACTTCGAATTTGGGTCCCAATAATAGGCGTCAGAACCGTTCGAATCGCCACGCACACCCTCGGACGCACGTATGCTCCGTCACACTGCTTTCTATGGTCTTCAACTCACCTGAAAAGATTTCAAAATCGCATTGTACCCTTCCCTGAAAAAGGTCCTCGGAGAAAAATGTGCTAGTTGTAAATACTTGATGTTGATACACAAGATCCTGCTCATGTTAAACTCGTTTTTCTTCAAGAATTTTCTCAGAAGAATTCTATTTTGCAAATTTGAAGAAATTTTTAGATGGATTTATAATTACGGAAAGCAGTGTAGACGAATAAAGTCGCCCAGATCAACAAAGCATTTTAGTCTTACAATTAGGTCGAATAACTGTAGCCCGAGTTGTCTGTAAGAAGAGACCATTGGCTAGCACATTGGTTGGCACTCGTATGTCATGGTCTAGGTCATAATGTTTATACAGTAGCGATCAAAAGAATTTGGCCAAATGCATCTTCGGTCGTACTTTTCACTCGTAACTCCTTTTCTACTGGATGTAATCACGCGAAATTTCAGTATGTGTAGTATGGATGCAGTGTGAATATTTTCCACTATTAACCTGTAATATGATCATATTCCAGATACCCCAAAAAGCTTGAACCCAAAACCAACTTAAAGGCACAGTTCACGATAAAAATGGTTTCTGAGATCCCCCCACGGGACGAATTTGAGGCTCCCGCGCATACCATATCTGGCATTATTAGGTCGGGAAACGGCCTAGTTAGGAAGGTATAAGGGCTCGAAGATTGGTCCGTGTGTATCCTCGGACGAGTTTCACTGGCATTGTAGAGGTTACACCAATCACAAGGCAACCCATGTGGGAAGTTCAAACAACTTGTCATTACCCTAGCGACAGTGAAAGGCACTTCTGTACAGTTCTGGCTTGATGTAGTCAGCTCTTTACGCACACAGCAACCGGAATCTCGTCCGAGTATCCTTTCCATGCTACTTCCGTCATGACAATCTCGTCCAACCTTTACTTTCCCTACTTTTGAGGAGTCATATTTTTCTCGAAATCGGCGAACTCTCTCGCTTTCTTCACTATCGTTGACCTGTTCCCAATCTATGTTACCGCCTTTCGAATAAAAACGGGTGGCTTAAAATTATCGTGAACTGTGCCTTTAAAATACGGACACTGGCCTTTCTGGGTGCGCTTCGTTGCTCGCGTCCGTCGAAACTAGGTCACCTCGCAGCCATCGCATGTGTAATGTCATCTCGAGACCTCAGTGGGTTGCGCCGCGCGCGAAGTGGGCGAGGTGACCTACTTTCGACGGACACGCGGAAGGGACTTTCCCCGGTCTTTCTAGGATTTCTTTCCCTTTTGCCATGTCTGAGGTGTACGAGCGCTAACGCCGAACACAGGAGAGAAGAAAAACTCTATAGGGTGCAAATAACTGCAGGCGTTGCTAACTTTGCTTCTAGAGAAATCTTCTACCAAGTATTGCTCTTAGTTATGCGAATATTGATGCTTCATAGTCAAGTAGTGTTGGATAGTGTGAAATATGCATTTGTTAAACATTAAACATATCGAAATTTCGCGCGATTTGCTCAACTAANAAAAAAGTTATGAACGAGAAAGGGCAAGAGCGTTTGGCCGAATACTTTTGAGCGCTACTGTAGATGACAAATCACGTCATCTCTGGGAACACTTTCACGTCTAACAATGATTAATACGGAAACAGATTCGATATAAGACCGTTGCTCTGCAGATCGCCACTTCAAATCTGGATGACCAAGTAAAGCTCATTGCTGAATCCAGCTTTTACTAGAAGTTTGCTCAAACGTAGTAATCGCTTGACAAAACCTAGTAAATGAACACCTAGTAAACGTAGTTTGTCACCAAACCCGCCCTCCCCCTCCATTCTCCCTCTCTTACTCTGTAAATTCGTTGTCCTGACCAAATACGATTATGAACGGAAGTCGAATGCTATGCCAAGAGACTATTCTTCTGTTCGACGGCCCGTTATTGCTGTTCAACCCCTTGGTTAGGTAACATTCTCCATCAGTCGATATGAGCTTATCTTCGAAGAGCATTGTTATGCTGGCTGAATTGATTGTGGCTGGTGTTATTCGGAATAACATATACTAATCCGGTGTGTTTATTGTATAAACATCTCATTGCTAAGCCTCAATACTGGTTTTGATCAGCAATTCAACAGATTTCCCATATTGGTAAACCAACGAAGAAATCGAACGTTATTACTGAACGTACGTGTGTCCGACTTCTCCTTCGCCCATAGAACGGAGAATATAACTTGACCCCCTCCATTTGTACCATATACCATCTCTTTCTTGAAGTTTATCGCTGGAACACCTTCTCAGCAAAGAGGAAGCTAAGCATAGTGGGGTATGAGCAGGGTATGTGTGAAGGGAGTGCACTTGCTAGTAAGGGACGATGATGACGTTATGTGAATTCGATGTGATCCTTCCAGACGAGCGCGGTACCAACTAGCAGACTTCGAAGGAAGAGAAACTTAGTTGGTCAGCTCGAGATATCACAATGGATCCATGAACCGATGCGCCTGTGATAGTGCGCCACATGCCCCTGTACCATTTCCTTTTCTAGGCTACATTTGATTGGTTATCTAATACTTATTTATTACTTAAAGTTCAACACTTTATTCCTCAAAAGAGTTCCAATTAAGTAAGTAATGCACAGCACAGCTTTTGCACTTATCCTCTTCTCCTTCCAAACATAGAGGAGAAAGAGCACGGGTCCGAAAAAAAATGTGAACCTTAACCTTTGGGGTAGATTTCTTTCGGACTAACCTCCCGTCCTCTCTGTGCTTCAAGAACCTTAGGCATTGCAAACATTCTTTTCTCTTCCTGTCAAACGTTTTCTGCTTTTTTACTGACAGCGGATGTTTCAGGATATGCGTAATCGGTTGTATACAATGCTGTTCATCACGTGCAGTTTGATCGCTGTTATTTACTATATAAACAACATAAATACAGGTTTTATCTTCTATTTGGTTTCTTATATACTCAAAATGACCAAAACATCTACATAGAGCAATGAACAATTAGAATAGAGGAGGTTCATAGGAAGGACAAAAGGAACGCTATCTGCTTCAGCACAAGTTAGTTGCCGAAGTGCATATAGCAGCTAATTGGCACTGGAGCAACTTCGAAGACAGCAAAGATATGACGATCACCGCATGGTTTCATTGACAAAATATGGACTGTCTTTCTAGAATTGAATACTCAAAGCAAGTACTAATGTCAGCTTTCCCGCACTCTAACGATTTCAAGCAGAGACGCATTGGAAGTGCGTCGTAAGAGAGTCCAGACGACAAAAGAAAAAGATGTGATATTTCCGGGTCCGAGAACTTTTCCCCGAAGACGGCGTCGCGCACGCGGCACCCGCCGCGTATCGCAGTATTGCGATGGAAGATTGAGCGCGCAATTTGTGAGGTGGGGATTCCTTTAATTATTTGAATTGGCTGACCGCTTTCTTCAATTTCATTGCAGTCTTGATCGCCGCTTACATAGGGGGAGTCATTTTAATTAATCAAGTCTAATAAACATGAAAACGAAAAAGAAACAGAAGAAAAAACGATCAAACCCAATAAAAAGCAAGGCAATCAACTAAAAATATCGCGTCCTATCGATTGGCTGGAGGCGGGGTGAGTACGGTAATTGGAGTGACATTTGCCGCATGCCGCAAGGGAGAATGCCGCGATAGGGGAGAGGTTCCGTTACCCGATATTTCCGAATCGTCCCATATTTGTGATTCAAGACTAAAATAGTACAAAGGCAGGTCAGTACGTTTTGAAGGGCTAAATAAATTGTTTCTAAAGCATACTCGTCTATGAAAACGCATTGCCTCGACTACTCCAACTCTCCGGTTGATGTACACTTCCCTCAGATAAGGAAATCCGATCTGCAACGTTGAGCAAATGCTGCAGAAATTCTTCCTCGTAGATTCCCTTCGATATTCGTATTGTACGCGCAAAAAGCATCAGCATTCCTATCTATAGTGGACCCTTTATAACAAAGAGCATACAGTAGCTGTTGTGATAATTATAACTCAACTGGTTTGCAATTGTTCCTAGAAGGTTTTGGAAGCGAATCCCTCATATTTTACCTCATGATCTTTACATTATCAATTATCGTCGTCTACGGTGACGATCCCCATATCTATTTCGTAGTCTCACCGTCTGAGGTTACTCCCTAACGTAGCCCAGGCCCCTAAATGAAAGGGGTGAAGCGGGGCCACCAAAAAGCGTGGTCCCCACTTCTACCGCGCTAACAACAGCAAGGGCGATACGTGGGTTTTGTGCCATCTAATATAAGAACTTATCTACTATATTTCTGTGCATTCATAGCGGTGACAACCGCATTTATTTTTCCATTTTTTGTATTTTCGCTCCGCAATCACTGGAGTTATTACTATAATATAAAACCACTGAACCGCCAATACATCAAACTAGCTGGCCTGCGGCCAGATTTAACGTCGAATCTTAGAACACCATTTCCAACTCAAAGTTTCATTTTAAGGATAGGATGGACATGCTTTGAATGTTTTCAGAATCCAACAACTCCTATTTAAACGCCTTATATGCACTCCTCATGGACAATATTACCTCCATCTTCGATACTTGTCCATTATACCTATACAATCCTTTGGATATCACCCTTCTCGGGTTCTACTATCCAACGTACAATCGTAAAAAGGTAGGACAATTTTTTTAGTCGGATTCAGTCATGCCCATCTCTATGGTGCTGGCCTTTCGCTTGAAGGCAGGGTTGTGGGTCCTTTTTCGGGTTCCATGACGAATATCTCGATGGAGAGTAGTTCATTGGCTTGGTAGAAAGTGTGAAAATTTCAGAAATTTCGATATAGAAGACCTTTCTCTCAACTGATCAATTTTCAAGGGTGGGCTAGGTTTCGACGCCAAAAAGTTTTCCAGTGAGATTTCAGTAGCTGCAGATTAATAAGAACAACTACGTTTGAAAGTGACTGCAGTAGCGCTGTGCCCCCTTTTGATATCTGCGATTTCAGAAAGCTGTTTGATAAGCATTGTATTGGAAGTCTCTGTAGGCCCTCATTCCTCCTCATTAGGACTCGGTGAGGCAACACCGTACCTCTTTAGAGGACAATGATTTGAGTCTTCTGAACCTAAATTTACCGGAAATTTTCTTCTGAAACAAGGAACTAATAGTGGACAATGACCAACTTTCAGAACTGCAAAGTGTACAAGCCGATTACTCAGCTGGTGGATGGGTATGTGCTGTTGAGCAACAACGCATCGAATCACACATGCCATGCCAGGTGTTCTCACTACGAATCACAAACAACATTTCATGAGCGATCTTTCGAATCCTGTATAGGAAAATGTCTGACAATAATTTTCTGAAGAGCGATTAACAAGTAAATATTCAGATGTATCTTCCCGAAAAAGGATAGAGGTTATTTGGGTACACTCTGGGTAAAAGTCCCATCGGTGGACAGGCTTGAATGTGATATTGTTGAGACAGAATGTATCAAAGAAGATATTCTGGAGTCATTTCTACATACGCAAATCTTTGAACAGAAGTGAGTTTTTCCCATATTAAAATCTTTACTAAAATTCAGAGGGAAGTCAGTTTTTATTCGCGCCATTTGATGTGAATTAGCAGAGTCGAGCCAAGTGATGCGTTCCCACATGCGTGGTCCGGAAATCGAATTCTAGACTGGTAAGCATGCCAGTCTGGTGTGGAATCTGTCTGGAATTCGATTCTCGGACCACATATGTGGCAGTGCATCACTATGCCTATGCCTACCATGCTTTCCACTATTCCGGGGTCGATTAATTAATTCAAGGTCCGGAAGGATGAAGTTACTGATGTTTACATCAAATGGCATCAGCAATTATTGTATGGGACGAACAAGCGTTTCGAAGCGGAAATGATTTGTTCTTAAAGTTCACCTTTCTGTTTTTCATACAATATGCATAGGCCGTAGGAAAGTGGGCATTATCTCTCAGGAATGTTTGTTAGGAGGTTATCCTTCCAGCGGGTTTACAAGTGACGTAGTTTAGTGGCAAGTGGCGCACCATCTCACACGCATGGTCAGGGGTTCGTATCCCGAATCGATATCCGCCTAGGCCAACCAAGCCTTCCATTCCTCATGGGCCAGCGAATTGGTAACAGACTCGTCTGGGAGGATAAAAGCACTGACTCGTAGATCGGCTGACCACCGGAAGTCATTGTCTAGGCCACATACGCACTCATTACGCCACTACGATTCTGAATGGAAGTCGAGTGCGGGGGCGCATCCCTCAGACGGGATTGATTAACGCCAAAAACTTTATCCTTTGTGCTCTTCGATTTTATGAAACCTTAATGTTACATTTGTAGGGACTCTGAAAACAGTACCAAGCCTGATGTATATGTTCTGATAATCGATTCGGCTTCCTCGTTCATGGTAAAAAGGTTCGCTAGTTGTTCTAAAGGCTTTTATGAAAAGAATAAAATTCGAATCGGTCAAGGTCGCTACCGAAGACGCTTGAATATCTTCAAGAAACGATGGGTGGCGTTCAAATGGAGTTCCTGAACAAAGTTGGCGACAACAGTCGTCCAAATGGATTTCCTCTTGCATTCGGTGAGAAAAAATCTTTTCGATTTCCCTTTGGAAGTTACTATATACACACAATGAAGAGAAGGGCACTAGCGTTGATTGTGAGGCGTTTTGCCTCTACTGCCACAAGGATGACAAAAAATGCATTCACTAGTTTTGAGTCGTCATGTAAACACCGATAACAAAAAGTGTTTAGAGGGATGAGGTCATGGCTTTACCTCTTACCTTCACATTCACACACCATGTTCATGTGATTTGGTTTTGAGATTTTTCCGCAGGTTACTCTGCTTAAATTGTAGGTTGCACAACCCATTCGTAGAAACCCATCATCAGTTTACTTCTTTTCTAAATCCTACAAACACCCTCATTGTTTTGTCAAATCATCAAGTCGATTTCTCATATGTGTATTTACTTACCAATACACCCCTAATAGTACTTAAAGGCACAGCTCACGATAAAAAATGGTTTTTGAGATTTCCCGATAATATGAATTCGAGGCGCCTCCTTATACCATACCTGCCGATATATGGTCGAAAAACGTCATGGATAGGGCACAATAAGGGGCCAGAGATTGTATCGTGTGAATGCCACACCCATCGTGAACGAGTTTCAACGGCTTTGTAGACGCTGCACTCTCTCAAGAGACCCCCATGTAGGGAATTCAAACGTCTTGTCATAACTCATGGCGACAGTGAAAGACAGTTTCGGACAATTTCAGCTTGATGTAGTCATCTCATTGAGCAATGAAGCCTCGTTCAAGCACCCCTCAAATGCCATTACCGTCACGGTAATCTCGTACAACCTCCACTTCGACGACTTTTGAGAAGCCTTGGAGTAGGCCGATTATCTCGATTATCACCGATGTACTCCTTGAAATCAACACTTCCATATTCCTACCTAAAACGGATACCTCAAAATTATCGTGAACTGTACCTTTGAGGAGATAATATTTCCTAGTCTTTCAAAATTTTATTAAGGGAAGTCCATAGAAGGCGGTAATCGTGATTTGGTCGGTTTGCCGCCGTTGGTACCGGATTGGAATGATGCCGAAATATGTGGCAAATATCTTGACGAATATCCCTATTATTTGCAACAGTTCAAGGACATTGGGTATAAAGTAGGTTTACCCTAGAATTTTCTATTTCACTTACTGAGTGTATATAACAAGGAATCGATGGACTGTTTATCTATGCCTGGATCTTGGGTAGCACAGCTGGACAGAACTTCCAGTTTTTATTTTTCTCAACGGAAGCCCCTCCACCGCATCCAGTGCTGAAAATTACAGACCATGATTGCTCAAGACTTCGACGTTGGCATGGTTTATTATCCAGATTGCCTTGGTTTCAATAGGAGCGAAGCTGATCACATTTGGAGGTATTCTCTCAAATGCCATCACAAAATGGAAAGATTTTAAGCTAAATGTTTAAAAGAGTAGTAGAAAAGGGAAAGGTACCTAGTTTTTTAGCTAAGTTCAAATTGATCATTCATCTCATCATTTATTTGTTCATTCGTTTGCTTATATAAAACGGATGAAGGGTAAAATCTCTGGGAAATCTGATCAATCCCGTCAGAGGGATACGCCACCGAAATCGACCTCTATTCAGGATCGTAGTGGGTTTTCATTGCGTACGTGGCCTATACAATAACTTGCGGTGGGCAAGCAATGTTCTAGTTAGCGCTTTTATCGCCCTAGACAAGTCTGGTTTCAATTTTCCGATCCCGCAGGGATGAAAGTTATGGTTGGCGTAGGGCTGATAACGGTCCGGGTCCACTGCACCGCCTCCGTCCATTTCCAAGATGATCTCGGAAAAAGGCATCTGTAGAACAACAAAGAGAAATTTACGCCCGGGACATGTTGATTTCAAAGCATTTTTTGAAGAAGCTAAAGCATACGATACGGTCGCGTCTTTTCTCGAATTTTTAAAGTTCAATGGCTCGCGTAAGATTCATTCGGTTACTATGAATTCCCCACACCCTAGCTTTTCCGCAATTTTTCTCTTCAGAGACATATTGTCTTTTTCGTGGGCTTGCTTATGAAAAGAACGCATTTCTCTGCTCACACCCCAAATAAGGGAGACCTACTAGATATTATTGAACACAGATTTGCTTTGTGAACACTTTTGTCGCATACCGCATAAATATTTCCAACTTGTTGAGAGAAAAGAGGTCACAGAGTAATATAAAAAGGCTGTGTAATTAGTGGACGAATTCCTGGTAAGGCTTCAAAGAGCTCAGGAGTTGTGTCTGTAACTTTTATCAGCTCGTGAATTGTCCTTCTCCTTCAATGGTACAATTGCAGGAAAATAGTGCGATGAAGGTGGAGAAACTGCGTGAATCGGTGTTTCCAAAGTTAAAAAAAGCTTGGAAAAATCGTTAAAAAGGGGACTGGACGAGATTGAGACTAGTAAAATGAAGAAGAATGGGGCGTTCAGACGAGCTATACAATGTGTCTCACCGCGTGCATGTGGGTCCTGGTGCGAATAACAGACTATGGCAAGCAAAAATTCATCCGCTTGTAAGCATTAGTACTTGTTTTGACTTGATGTTTTGTTAACTGCTGTTAATTCGCCGCAGTACGCGATCCGAAAGTCTCACAAGGTTGGCGATTTGTGGACAAAACTTCAGCCTCGGACGGGACTTGAACCCGTACTTGTCCTTTCCGGGGACCGTGCTCTTATCCCTTACACTACCGAGGCCCCGCTTGCCCTCGCCTTCTTGATGGCTT